ACACCTGGCAAATTGCCAAATCGCGAGTCGCCGCGATTATTTAGAAATCACTTGAGGTATGCCCCTTGCCTAAGGCATACCTCACGCGATTTATTTCGCGACGCGATTTAGACTAGTCGTTCATAACTCATCGTAAGGGGTTTTTTAATGTACGGAAGATAGGGCACATCAACCTAGGGAAGTCATACATGCTATGCATTTGGGGTTTGCCGGTATTGAATTTGGAGACATCTGGCAAATTGCCAGATCGCGGCTTCTGAAATCGCCTGAGGTATGCCTGGGGCCTAAGAGGACCGCAACGATAGATAATGTTTATACCAAAAATCTATAGCTTTAAAATTTTTTGAAATCATATCTCGATGAGCTAGCACGAGTCTCCAGCAAAAACATCAAATTTATTTGAAAAAAAATCTTCTCTTCTGGCTGTAGATATTGCGCCAATAGAGCAAACGAACCACTTTTTTTTGTCTTTCCGAGTTACGGAACCTTTGGTAAACAAAGCTTCATGAAAAGAAGAGTATGCATGAAAAACTAGAAGAAAAGAGCTTTTGGAGGATGTAAGTGATATCCATGAAAAATGGCGTCTTCCACCTGAATCGTTAGCTCAAAAAGGGATATACAGAGTGTCCCAAAAAGATGTGCACACTGTTTGTTCGTTAGTAACATTCTTGCTTCCATGTCTTTCTCCGAGCTTGAGGTACCATTTTGTAGAGGGAGGTTCAGGTTAGATATTTAGATTTCAAATATAAAATTTGCACTTCACTGTAATGCTACTTTCATAAGTTATTTCGTTTATATGGTAATGTAATGAAACTTTGATCCTTTTCGTTGGTGTAGGACTACGGTAGGAACTCCGAGAATTTCAGCCCATTAAAAACAATGTTTTCCCATTGTTTTTAGGAAGGGAACCAAAGAAGCCTCACCGATTTCAAGTAAAAAATTTGCACTTCACTGTAATGCTTCTTTCATACGTTATTTCGTTTAGGATAACCGTTTTTTTTTCTTCAGTTTTCGTCAGAAATGTGTTTACACCACTGAATAACCTCAAGAATTGGTAAAAAGTTGTTTAGTGAAATCAGCACGTCCAAAAATCTTGCTACACAAGTTCTCAGATTTTTTGGAATTTTTTTCATTAAAAGGCCTTTTCCACACTGGCGCTGTATACTTCAAGTTCATACCGTAATCCTACAGTAATATAAGGTGTTTGATGATCCGCTCCACACTTTAAATCTAAGTTTAACCTCGCTCTACAGAAAGTACCTCAACCTCGGCAAAGGACGTGAAAGAAAGAGAGTCATTAACGATCAAACAGTGTGCACATCTTTTTGGGACACCCAGTAGCAAACAGATAGAACTTTTGAAACAACCCAATAGATAAGAAATGAAACACACAGTAACTGAAAGTGTATTCTTTCATAATAACTCAGCTTCTATTGCAGTGGTTCCTTATGCGATACTGTGGTGACAACAGTTGATGGCCAAAAGTTCGACACAAAAGAACTGGACAATGATCGGGGTCTGGCTATGGTCGCTGACTGGTCATTACCAATTTTTGAAATTGCGGAGAAGCATCGGGAAACTGTGCTTAGTCGGGTAAGCATTTTCATTCACTAGTTGCTAGAAATTTACGGAGTATAGCAGACATTACATGCCAAATGGTACTGGAACATCGAGCACCGCAAATTTTCTTTGTTATATCGTTGGAGATCATTGGTGATTGATTCATACTGTTTCAGCTTACCTACACAGTGTTCAAGCAAGCCGATCTATTTCGGATATTCAAATTATCGCCGATAAAATTTTTCAACTTTTTCCATGCTTTGGAACGAGGTTACTGGGACATTCCATGTTAGTGCTTCCTATGAAGACATTTTTTTTCGTTTATAACCTCCTCAAATTCATTCTTTTTAATATTTTTTCCTTCCAGACCATAATCGAGTTCATGCCGCCGACGTTTTACATGGCTGTTACTATCTAA